GGGTGTTTGCATTTCTTTGCTGGTCATATTTGTTATTCATTTCATCTTATGATTATCACTAAAAATAATTTATTTGTATGGAGGAAGAGATTATTTTCTAACACTCCTTTAATTCATTAAATTAAACGGTAATATTCATGAAGAATATATTAATGAGCTATATATGTTCTGGACTATATTTCTAAATATTTTGAATATATATTACATACATAAGGATATATATTTCTGAAGAATATTCATAGCATTTAAAATAGTCACTTTAATATTCACTTGCACTTTAATGCAAGGCTTTGGTAAATTGCTAAATCTGGTGAATCAATTGTTTGGTGACTTAGCCATTTAGTGAGTTGTTTTCATCCCTGTGAAATGGATAGTTTTATCTCCATTTGCCTCTGGGGGAAAACTGAGATACAGAGTGTATAAAATAATTTGTCCATGGTCAGAAAACCAATAAAAAGAGCTGTAATCTGAACCAGGGTCTTCTAATTCTCTTAGCCATTATACTCTATTGCTTCCTCACAAAAGACTGAAGTTGTCCTCACATTAAGACTGAAGTTGTCCATGAAACATCCACCTATAACCATCAGAAATGCTGCCTAGGTGAAGAGGAGTAGCCACACATGGCTACAGACCCCTGTCTACACACCTATGAGTCCAGCTCTCACTTCAGCCCATTCACAAGGGGACAATCCATCAAATGCCAAGGACCTGCTTCTACGGTGGTTCACTGGGTCCATCTTCTGGGCTAGATCCTTGACCATGTGAAGTTCATTCATGCCTCAAGACCTTTGCACCCACTGTATTTCTCACTGTATTTTTTTTTTTTTGCCTAGCTGTCCCCTCTAGCTCTTCAAAGAGCCTCTCCCCAACTACCACATCTAAAGTTACGCCACCTGATCACTAACCATTGCCGTTTATTTTATAGCATATAGCATATTTTAGCTCACCATCTATTCTTCTACATTTCTTTCTTTCTCTCTCTCTCTCTCTCTCTCTCTCTCTCTCTCTCTCGCTTTTATATCAGATCAATGCCTGATATACAATAAGTTCCTAATAAGTATCTATTGAGTATTATTGCAAGAATGAAAGTATGGGGCGGGGCCTGGTGGCTCACACCTATAAATCCCAGCATTCTGGGAGGCTAAGGGAAGATGGCTTGAGGCCAGTCATTCAAGACCAGTCTGGGCAACATAGCAAGACCCTGTCTCTACTTAAAATTTTTTTTTAATTAGCTGGGTACAGTGGTGCAAGCTTGTATTCCTAGTTTCTCAAGAGGTTGAGGCAGGAGGATCACTAGAGTCCAGGGGTTCGAGGCTGCAGTGAGCTATGATTGCTCCACTGTACTCTAAACTGGGCAATGGAATGAGATCCTGTCTCAAAAAAAAAAAAAAATGCAGGTATGAAAGGATTAATAATGCAGTGCTAAGAAGGATTCTGAGGTCACATCCAGGCTCCACTCAAAGCACTGTGAGAAATCAACCATGCTGCCAAGTGCAGGATGTGAGGGGGAGGGTAGCACACCTGTACCTCTGAGCCCTGAACGGCCATATTATCCAACATGGAGAGACAGGCTGGGGCTCTCCCCTTATCAGCACCCAGCAATGCACGAGCACAGGTTCACTCACTGACGGGACTCCTCAGGAGGGGAAGAAGCCTGCTCTCAGAGTCTAGAGGGTGAAGACTCTGGTTTCAGGTTCTCCTGCAATCACCACGATTCTCCCCTTCCTGCAGGGACTATGGATTTGGCAGGTGGGCAGAGGTACTCAATAGGGTTCAAAGTTCACAAAGCAAGACTCCACCAGCTTCCTGCGGCCTGAGTTCAGGGAAAGGAGGCAGGAGACTAAAACAGCCTCAGCGGGTATTGGATTCTCTCCTTCCCCTCCCAAGTCATTAACAAAGACTGACACTGTAGTATTTATCAAAAAATCTTGTTCCCTAAGTGGTGATACAGAATAATTATCTCAGCATGCAATCAGCTCAGCGATCTTCTTCAAAGCAATTTGTGGCAAGGATATGCATTTTTAAAATAGATTAAATTTTCAAGAGCTTGCCTCTTAAACCTGGTCAGAGTGTATTTACAACTCACCTGGTGAGATGATGCATATCTTGAAACTGGGATTCTCTTTCATTAGGTCTTACTTAATTGAATCAAGCAAAGTCATTTTGGGATTGTCCCAAAAGAAAACCTTTTATCTGAAGGCAAATGTGTCTTAACAAGGCCCTAAGGTAAATAAAGCCAGGTTTCCACTCACCGGGGCTCTCTGCTCCTCCTTTTAAAAGCCTCCCACTCTACTTCATTTGTTTTTCTTTTAAGTGAGGAAATTGCTTATGGAGTTAACTGTTGCCAGTGAAAGCAACAAGTTAGCTCCCCCCCCCCCTTTAATTATTAACAAACACCTTGTCTCCCTTCCTTCCTTCATTTTCTTCTTTCTTTCCTTCCTCCCTTCTTTTTAAATAACTAAGTTGTGCATAGCTGGAGTGCACTCGCACTGCCAGGGCATGGCCACGGGACAGTCAGGAGTATCAAGTTCAGCCCCGTTTGATTCCCTCTGGGTTGGGTCTGGAATTCAGGCTATTGATACATCTTTATTGAATTAAGGAAAGCTCAAAGACCACGACTCTGCATTCCCCCAAACCCCTGAGCCTAAACTGCCTTTCCTGCTTTCCCATTCGTGTGCCCTTCCATCCCTGGCGACATCCTTCACAGGTAGACTCAGATCCTGGGGGCTGGTGCAGCCCAGGCGTGCAGTTCTACCCACCTCCCCAGTGAGGGGGGCGGGGCTGGTTCCCGGCCCCACTCTAGCCTAGAGAAGTTGAAGTGGTCACGGACACTTCGAACCCGCAGGGGCGCCCAGGCAGCCCCCCCACCACCTCCGACACCAGGCCACCGATCCCAAGCGTGGCTGGAGCGGGCTGCTGCCTGCCCGACGCCCAGTGAGCAGTTTCTCCCGGACTCTGCTGCTAGCCCAGAAGAATCTAAGACTCCCTGTCTAGAAAAGGGACCTTGTCTTTCCTGGCACTTTTCGCAGTAGGTTTCCTGGACTCAGCATAAATTCCCGTTCCCAACCCAAATCAGAGCGGCCTGGGCAGCAGCTCCTCGCCTCCATCGTCACCCCCGCTGCCTTTCCTGGTCTTGAGCTGTTGCTCGCATCAAATGTCACTCGGGGATGACGGAGAGCTGGTGCTGATGAGAAGCCTCCAGCATTACGGTAAACGAGCCCGTCAAGCTCAGAACCCAGTCATCTGACGGGTCACGTGGGCGGGGAGCCGCGGCCTCCCCCGCCCCCAGCGCTCCCCCTCGCCCTCCCCCGGCGATCCGGTGACTCAGTGCCCCACGCGGGCCCCGGGAAGGGCGGACGTTACATAAACGCCAGCGGGTTCGCACCGTGCCACCGGGAAGCCGCGTGGACGCTCCGGCCCGGATGCCCGCCCTACACAGCTCCCGCGACCTGGGGTGGGCAGGGGTGCTCTCGGAGGCACGGAGAGGTCCGCGGGGCGCGGGGGGAGGGCGGTTCTAGAACACAAAAACAGGACCCAAGAAGTTTCTCACTCCCGGGATGGGCCCCGGGATGTAAACGCAGAAAGGGCATCCTCCATCCTAGCTCAACCCCGGATTTCAGAGAAGGCGTTTCCTCCCCGCTTCCCCAGGGCCTGCAGGGGTGGGGCGGAGGGGGAGGCCCGGAGAGACTTATTCTATTATATAAACTTGTAATTGGCTCCGGCTCCTGCGGCTCCGGGCACTGCGGGATGTTTCCAACCAGATGGGATGTGAGGCCCACGGCTTCCTCCTCCTTCTCCTTCCCCTCCTCCCCCGCCCCCGGGTGCCCAAACCCCACCCTTCTGCCTTCCCAGGTCTACCAGAATTCCGCTTTCTTTCCAGGCCTCCCCTGCACAGGAGATGGCACCCAGGAATCCACTCTTATTTGGAACTGATATTCCATTATTAAACTAATGTATCCCAAGCCTGCCAGCCCTGGCGCCAAATCAACATTTACAAACGCCTCATTCACTCAGGTGCTCCAAACTGGGCATCAGAGATCCTAGCCCAGCATCTTCAGGCTTTCTTGAGTGTGCATTAGAAGGCCCACGGTGGGGAAGGGCCTTGTTAAAACTCAGAGTGCTGAGCCCCATGCCCAGAGTTCTGCTCCGTAGCTCTGCAGTTGGCCCAGAAAAGTGCATTTCTACAAGTTAGCAAGGGATGCTGACACTGTTGAACCACTAGCATAGCCAGGAGCAGGAAGGCAGTTTGGTTTTTCCCCCCTCCATTAAAAAGCTTTGCCAAACAAGTTAATAGTGTGAACAGGATGTTAGGAAGACCAGCCTCCTCTAAGGGGGTTCTCTGGCAGTTTAGAAACACACATTTACAAACAACAAACATGTTCATTATAAATTATAGCATCTATGCCTGTGCATGATGAAACAACCCTTCAGGAGCACCTCAAATTAGCAATCAAGGTTGGCTCACTCCAGGAACTTGGAAATCGAGCATTTTATAGCAGCAGCTGACTTCAGAGACTGGCGAGGCCCAAACCTCATCTAACAGGTGAGAAGCAAAGGGCAGCAAGGTCAGCAGGACGCGGGTGTAACTCCCTGGGTGGATTCAAACTCCAGCTCCAGTGCTGGTTAGCAGTGTAGGTTTAATTTAATTCTCTGTTTCCTAATTCCTGAAATGGGATCCAAGTCTATTTTGCTGCAGTATTGTGAAAATTACATATAATGTATGAAAGCCACCTAATTCAGATCAGGTGCCACATTATTGCCATTATTATTAGTGGTCAAAGCCACATGCTAATTAGCAGGACCCCTGATTTCTAATACAGATTAATGTTTTTCACTGCCCTAGTGGGTAGGGAATATTTCTTTAAAAATATATACGCATGGCACTTATATGTCAAGTTTTTCACTGATTCCAAAGCATTTTCTCTCAAGTAGTCCATATAAACGAGGTGTGTTGTACTTTCTGGTTGTTTATGAGCCTGAAGGAGGTAACAATCACAGCCCAAGAACCAGGAAGATTAAAGATGCCACTCTAGCACTTTGGTGAAATGCATACCTTAACCGACTCAATCGCTCCTGGTTTTTAAAACTGCCATTTTTCAAATGTCAGGGACCAGGGGCTGGTGTTGGGTAAATTCCTGCTGCTGCCCACCAGGGCAAACACCCTGCGAGTTAAAGAGTCTTTGAAACTCCAGTCTAGGCTTTAATATTGTCTCCTCCGAGCCCCTGAACAGGCATTAGTGCCTAAACCGCTTCCCCTGTATTTTCAGCAAACAGGGCTGCTAGCTGTACTGTTGCACACTCTCTTATCAACCCCCCTGAGAGATCCCTGCTGCTTGGAGAGTCCCAGGAGTGAAAGGGATGGGGGAGGGAGGGAAAGCAATCAGATAATCTGGGTGGGTAAATTGGAAATACAGAAGCCAACGTGGCACCATCGTGGGTGCTTGCTGTACAGGGGTATGAGGCATTCACATTCCCACATTCAGTGAGATGCCGAATTGCTAATAGCCTCCCTGGGGTTCACTCCCTGCTGTGATGCCTTCCATGATTTCATCAGAGTTTAGGCACGTTAAAATATCACAGTTTAGTCCCTTGTGTAAGGCAGTTTAGTCCCACGTGTGAGGCATTCACTCATGCTGTTGACGTCGATGCGGAAATTCTGTAAGGAAGAAAAACTTCTTTCCCACGTAATCTGATTGGAAGTCGGTATCAATGGACACTTCCAAGTGAGATCACTCTTACTGTGCGAACCACCGTGATATCTGTGGCTTTGAAACTGGTGGAGTGATACACAGAACAAGTTTGGAGCTGTTGCTTTTAATTCCCAGAATTTGTGTCTTTTCCACGTTAATTTGGGTGTTTTTGTACCTCTCCAACCTGCCCGATTCAGCCTTCAGTTTTATTTCATAATTGCCCTTATTTTTAATCTCCCCGTTGAGATTAGAATTGGTCTTTAAGATTTTGAATTTCCACTTTGGTTCCCAAAGCTCGTTGGATTATGAAACCACACGCCAGGTTTTAGAAATGCAACGGAGCATACTGAGATGTGCGTGCCTAACGCGTCTTCAGGTAGGTGGCGTCTGAAACGAGATAGGAATCTATTTTAGATCAATACACTTACTAGCCTGAACATTTATTCTGGGTTTATTCAAGTTGTTTTCATAGAACAGTCACTTATTTTCTCTTTTCAACTTCTTGATATTTTCCTTCCTGAGTCAGTAACTTTTTAGCATGTCCTTAGGTACCTTGGCAGAAAGAGTTTGATTTACCCAACCTTTTACAAATTTAAGAGCATGGCTCATGTTTCTTGATATTTCAAGTGAAATTCTGATTGTTTCTGTGACAATTATTGTTGTATGTAATCTGTCCAGATCTGTCATTTACAGATATCTCCAGAGAGGCAGAGCTGATATAAAATTGAAATGATTTCTCACTTGGTTTCTTTTCAAGGTTGCTGCGTGGGTGTTGCTTGTGGGTTAATGATTTGGGGGTTAAACACATTCTCTTCTTACCCAGCAAGCGCCTTGAGAACCTACTGTGCCAGACCTGATGCCTAGTACTGGGCATACAAAGGGAAGTGAGGAAGGTCCTTTCCTGTAGAGAATCTGGTGATAGTGGCAAAATGTGAACTGATTTGATCCATCACAGTGCATGATGGGACAAAGGGCGGGGGGGGGGGAGGCTATAGAAGCCAGAGGAGGGGGGCATCGGACCTGCCTTTGAGAGGCCAGAACGGCTTCCCCAGAGTAGACAGCACCTCAGCTGGGTGTTACAGAAAAAAACAAGAGTTAGGTGGACAAAAGAGTAGGTCAATCTGTCAAAATGGGGCTTGAAAGCACTCTTTATATAAATTAATTTAGATCTTATTTATCTACAAATAACAAAGATCCAAGCAAATAATGGCAGAAACAAGGTAGAAGCTAATTTCTTTCACAGATAAACAAAGTCCAGGGAGGACACTGCTGTCTGGTGTCAGCAATCCAAGGTCCTGCTATCTTGTTGCACTGCCATGTGTAGCTTCCATTCCCCAGGTCACCTCTTGGTGTATGATGGTTGCAGAAGCTCATTCCAGGCAGCATTAAGGTGGAAGGAAAGAAAGAAAGGCCTTTACTTTCTAAGGAGACCTTCTGATATGCCACTCTTTCCTCATTGGCCAAATTTTATCACACTGCTCCACATAGCTGCAAGGCAGGTATGAGGTCTTTTGTATGGCAGTATGCCCAAGTAAAAGCCAGTGTTGTCTCTAAAGGAGAAGGGGGAGCATTGGGAAGCAACCCACTGTCTCTGCCCTAGTGGTGATTGTGGGTGGGGAGAAGGCAATGTGAGCAAAGGAGAAAAGGAAGCTTATCTTGTTTCAGGGAATAGATAAGGATAAGTAGGTCAATTTGGTTTAGGGTTTGGTTTGCCAAGAGATAAAGGCTGGGAAAATAAACAGATGCTAGGTTGTGGGAGGTCATGTAAACTGTGCCCTGCTGAGGAAATGGAGTTTTATCCTTGGGGTAGAGAGGAAAGTACACAGGGAGGTAAGGGCAAGGCCATCATCAGGAGGTGAGCATAGCCTTTCAGGAGAGACTGTGACAGCCTGAATGAGATAGTGGTGTCAGGGACAGGGAGAAGTGAACAGATCCCAGAGATATTAGAGCAGTAGAACTGGTCAGATGTAGGAGAGGTGTAAGTCAGACGTAGGTGGAGAGAGACTAAGGATGACAGACGCCCAGGCATCTGGGTGGATATGACACCATTCATTGAGATAACAGGGAATGCTGGAGAAGTTGGGTGGAGAACTTCAGCTTGGTTTGGACATTATATCTACACATACAGATATAATGGGTTGATCCACTTTTTAGCCCCTTTGTTCAGGTTTAATTTTCATACCATAAAATACACCCATTTTAAGTATACAGTTGGATAAGTTTTAGTAGCATAGAGTTGTGCAACCGTCACCATTAATCAGCATTGGAAGACAGCCACTGTCCCAGAAAGTTCTACCATGCCCGTTTACAGTCAAGTCCTTGCCACCCTAAGCTCCAGAGAATCACTGATTTTCTTTCCATCAGATTCACTTTTTAAAGTGTAAATTCAATAAAAAGATGACTGCAGTGATTCTCTGGTGGAAAAGTGGGGGTCCTGACCCCCCCCCCAGAGAGTATACAAGAATTACCTGGGGGAGGCTTTTTTAGACTACACATCTGTCACACATCCCCTCAAGGGTTGAGTTTTCTTCTCCTCTTGCCCTCTCCCAGAGTGAGCCACTGTTAGAATTGGGGTAAGGGATATTCTTCAGGTATATTAGGGCAGAAAATGGCACGGAACCCCTGAGTGTGTTGGTTTTTAACAACAAGCTCGATAGATATTTTATTTTGTTGTTTCCAACCTGATGTTGATAGTTATACCACTAGAGCTAAGCCTTTAGTTATGTCCCAAATACCAGGTGCTCAATATGTCTATATGACATAGCACTTTTTGGGGCCATCCTCTCATTCTCCCACAGAAGGTGTCAAAATATTACTGAGGTACTCACTCCAATCACCACTCCTTGAATAAGGTTTTCCAAGTGCAGTTCAGCAATTTGCAAACCGAAAGGGTGCCCCAGCCTCACTTGATACTACAACCATATTTTGGGACTATGAATAAGTCCACATGTAAACACAGATGGGTGATTCCTTTTTAGCGGCAGTACAACTCTCTGGAATGGTTTGAGAACACATCAGTTTGAATGTTCTTGGTTTTCTTTGGGAAGATTGTTCCATGGGGAACATCTTTTCTTAGTTCTTGACTTTAAGCTTATTATAGATATCTAAGGTCCCTCAGACTCCATTTCAATTGTATCTATCTTGACTAATATCAAGATTTCTTAACTAGTTGCTAACACCATCGATACTATGAAGCTTAAGGCTCCTGTTTTGAAATAAGAATTATGTAGGCACTTTCTCTCTGCTCTCTTAATTGTCTCAAAGCATTAGGATTCAAAGTGGCTTTTGGGTGGAGATGATGGTCCTAACACGTTTCCATTACTCAAAGTGGCTTCTCCACAGTTTTAACCTCCTTTGCAAAGATAGGAAAAGGGATAGTAAGCACCGTAGAAACCAAAAGCTTTAAAAACCATCCTATCAAATGTTCTTCAAATTCAACTTTCCTTCTAGCTGGCAGCACCGGTATTGCAACCCTTTGAGATCACTGCACAGCTTCTCTAGGAAAAATGGCAAAAAGAGGTTATCAGGCATTCCTTCCTCCCACAAATATTTTCCAAGCAGCTGTGACATACCAGGCCCTGTTCTAGGCACAAGGGATACAGGAGTGAACAAGACAAGAAAGGTCTCTGCTTTCTTGGGCTGACATTCTGGCAGGGCAAGAAATAGACAATAAGTAGGATAATTTCAAAGTAGTAAGTGAAATAAGTAAGACAGAGTGCTGGTGAGTGACTTGGGGAGAGTCACCAGGGAGGCCTTTGGAGGGGGTGGAATTTATGCTGAGTCCCGGATGAAGAGAAGGGGGCAGCTGAGGTCAGCAGAACCACTCCAGAGAGAGGAGAGGGCTTGACATGCTCAGGACACTTTCAGGAGGTTGGGGGTCTGCCAGAATGGTTGGGGGATCGAGAAGACTGGTGCGCAACGGGGGAACTGATGGGCAAGATTCAGATCAGCTGGCCTGTAGCCCACAGCAAGACGTTTGGGCTCTATAGCAAGGGCCATGGAAAGTCCCTGGACAGAGGGCGTTAAGCAGGCAAGAAGCAGGACGCGCTTGGCTCCGTAGAAAGATCACTCTGACTTCGGAGTGAAGGCTGGACTGCAGGTGGGATGAGAGAGGAGGCAGGGAGACAGGATAGGAAGCTGTTGCCGGATGGAGGACAGAGATGGCTGTGGCTCTGAACTGGGTGGTGGTGAGGCAGGTGGAAGGAAAGGATGGGATTGGGGGCGTATTTTGGAGTTGGAGCACTGGGCTGCAATGATGGGTGTGAGGAAAGAGAGGAATCAAACATGGCACCAAGGTTCTTGGCTTGGCCGAATGGATGGTGGGGTGCTGTTTACCAGGGTGGGAAGGAGAGCATGGGGAGTCCAGAGTTCTGTTTTGAACATGGTAAGCCTGAGATGTCTAGACTTTATTTATTTATTCATTCATTCAACTCTCCCAGAATGTGCATACTTTTTCAAACACTGAGCACTTTCACCGGGATCAAAAAGATAAACAAGCCAGAGTCCCTGCCTCCTAGTAGAGAAAACAGGCACACAGGAAAAGGATTGTGACAGGAGTGTCGGTGACATAGCAGAGGTGTGTGGATGGACCAGCTATACCCAACTGAAGGGGGCGTTAGGGATGCTTAGGAATCGGGAGCTCTTTGAGCTGAGTCTTGGGGGACAACAGCAGCAGCTGAGTCTGCCCATGAGGGGGATTTCCCCCGGGCACTAGAGATGGTGGCTGTCGAGTCAGTGATCCAGCCCTGGGAGGGAGGACCTCGAGAGGAGGGAGCCATTGAACCACAGCGACTGTGGCATTGCTTTTGAACCTGGACCAAACTGAGATAGTTACATATACCAGATATCATAGATTTCAATATGTGTGTGTGTGTGTAAATATTATATGAACAAATATACCATACTACATTGGCCAACAATAAGACTTCTGTAGAGGAAAAATGTATTTTCCATAATGTTTCTGGAGATATCTCCCCATATGTAGGGGGCACGGAGAAGTTAAGGAACTTGCCAACACTCACTCAAGCAGTAAATGCCCAGCCAGGATTTCACCCCAGGAGGTCTGGCTCTAGTGCCCAGTCTTGCTCCCATAGGTGCCATCATGGAATGATTAGCTGGTGAAAGTGAGGACATTTGAGAGTAGTGTGTTCCGCATGATCAGGATCCCATTTGCGTTTATGGTGGGAGGCAAGCGGAGGAGAGGCACCTAACATACATATATATTCTGTGCATAGAATTTTTCTAGGAAGATTTCTTTAAAACTTAAAGGTTATCTTTGGAGAGTTGGAATGATGTTAGAGGAAAAGGAAACTTAATTGTATATCTTTCTGCTGCTTGGATTTTTTAAAAGTGAAAACATATGAATTTACCATTAAAATATTAAAGATAGGTAGTTCAGACAGGGCCATGCCAGCATCCCTGGTCCACCTCCCTGACCACCCATTCCACCTTGGTGGAATGTTTAGAATGCTGGGTCATATTCCCTCTGGCTGCTGCCCAAAGCCGCTTTGCCATTTCCTCAGGGCATACCTGGGTAGCAAGGACAATCACTTTTGGAAGCTCATCTTTTAAAAATTTAGTTCCTAAACCTTCTTGCTTACTTATACCCGACACCAACATCTTTTGCCTTTGAGGTCTAGAGCTCATCACATTCTTTCATTATTGCCCCGGGAGGAACATTCTCTATTGTCTTGCCCAGAGGGACTGCAATACAAGCCAGAGATATTTTAGGAATAGGAACCTTAGTTACCAGAGGATCTGAGATAACTGGAGGGTACAGATAACCCAAATGGGGCACCTCCAGGCAAAATAAAGAGGAAAAGGAGTGATTGAAGTTCAAACATTTCTTTTGTACATTATTTGCCTGATACCATCTCAGTGTAATAAATACCTTAAACACAGATGTGACAAATAGGTTTTTACCACGGTGCCAAATCCATTCAACTGCTGATAAGCACTTAATTGAGAAAGTTTTTGAGGCAGTCTGAGCTCTACAGAGAAAAAGGAATTAGTGATTGATTAGTGATGTCTGCCATGGGCAAGGTATAGATGACTCAAGGATGTGTGCCAGGCAGTTCTCATCCGACTTTAAGTTGAATCCTGCCTTTGACTTTGTTCTCAAATGAGATGAGTAATTCATACATATCCCAGCTGATATGTATCTCATTCTTCCCACTACACTCATAGCACTCGGTTCATACTTCTGGAACCACACTTGCCACAGCCTGCCTGGTGCCTGAATTAGTCACATGTGTGTCTGTCTCTCTCCCTAGCTCACAAGGGAAGGGGCCATACCATAATCTTGTTTCCAGCCTCACTGCACTCCACAGCATTCTACGGGGAACGGCACACAGGGAACGCTTGTGGGATTGGCTATGTGGAACTGGATGTTAGTGGAGCTACTGAGACATGGGCAAAATGGAGAGTCCCAAGGAAATACAGCAAGGGAGGGGAGAGGCTATGGAGAGGAAGGGGGCCAAGTGTGTAAATATCGATTTCATTTATTGTCTTTGTATTCATTTTCTATGGTTGCTGTAACAAGTCACCATAAACTCAGTGGGTTAAAGCACAGATTTATTATCTTACAATTCCAACACCCTGGAGCTGTTCTTTTGCAAGGCTCCAAGAGAGGATCCCTATCTGCCTTCTCCAGTTTCTAGAAGCTACAGGCATCTTCAGAGCCTGCAACAGAGCATCTCCAAATCTCTAGATTGTCTCCTTCAGACGGCCTCTTCCACCCTTGTGTTCACATTGAGCCCACCAGGATGATCCTGGAGAGTTTCCCTACCTCAAGGTCAGCTGATAGGCAACCTTAATTCCACCTACAACCTTAATTTCCTTTCACCGTGTAAGGTGGCATGTTTATAGATTTCGGGGATTAGGATGAGAGCATTTTTGGAGGGACCATTATTCTGCCTACCACATCTTCAAATAAACTTACAGATGACTCTGAGCCTCCAGCCAGTGGACTTGAGGGACATTTCATCCGACTCAGAAGCAGAGCTCCCTCTTGTTGTCTTTAAAAGATCAGAGAGGCCCATGGGGGCTCCAGGGGGTTGGCAGGGGCCACCACCCTCCTGTCTATTATGGCAGCATCATAGTGGCATTGGTCAAGCTGTGAGGTCCCTGGGGGCTGCATTATCCAGCCTGGGACTCTCGGCAGGGGCCATCCGGCTTCCTTGAGAACCAGGAAGAGTGTTTTCTGGCCCTGAAGATAGTCCCCTCTCTCCCCATTCTGCTTTGGGACCTCCAGCAGAACTGTGCAGTGAGCGGGGAGTTTTTCAAGACGGGATCCCCTTCGCCTGGACACACACATGCTTTGAGCTTTCCGTGGGGGCAAAAATCCCCGAGGTAAAGAATTACGAAAGGCCGGACTGCGTGCTCGGAAACAGGGTGGAGGAGGGAAAGGCGCGGAGGAGGAAACATACATCAATACCTCAGAATGGTCTCAGGACGCTCCTTTCGCCAAGTCTTGCCTAAGGCCTTTCTCAGCCCTATCAATGTCTCATTACAACCCTGCCCGGAGCCTGGGGCCCTGATACTCTCAAGCCCTGGGCGGGAGGCAGCCCCCCTTCCCACCGCTGCTGCGACCATCCATCGTGAATGCCCAGGCCTGGCGGCAGGTCAGGGCGTCCCCTGCAGCCGGCGCGTGTTTACGCGGCTGGGAGGGAGGCCCGGGCCGGCCGGGGTGAGAAGAGGCCTGTTCAGAGAAGAGCGCCCGGAAGGATTTATGGAGGGCCGGCCGCAGAAATAGAGCAGTCATTAAGGAGCCGTGGGCAGCCGTTGGAAGCGGGAATACTTAGTAATGACATGGGCACAAACATTGGTCAGGGAGGGCCTTCCTAGAATGTGCTGTTTTCTATTTGCTTTGTGGGGGAGGAGAGTCTGCTGCCTTTTTTGGAAAATGGGATTTTAAAAAAATGTGAATTTAGTGCTTGTGAGTGCCAGAGGAGAGCCCTGAGAGCAGAAGTCCTTCAGTCGGTCCCAGAGGCACAGGTGGGCCCTGGCTGTGACCGGGGCGCGCTGTGCGGCTGAGGCCTGGGGGAGCAGCCCCAGGTGGACAGTTCCTGGAGACCTGCCAGAGCCAACCGCGCCACCCCGGACCCGGTGAGAAAGGCTTCTGGCTTCTCCAGCTCGTTTGTACGTCATTTTAACTGCAAAGACCAGCCAGACAAGCTTTCACTCTCTCTTTCGGGATTCATTTTAAAATTTCTAACAGTCTTGAAAGGGCTTTACCTTAGAGTCTCAGGCTTAGATGGCTACAATTTTCCCACGTGGTGTGAAGAGTGGTTACAAACTCTTCCTGAAATTTTTGTTACTTTTCTGTATTGACTTTCCCCAGGCACAGGTAGCTGCATCAGAAATAATTTCCCAAATAAATTCCTGAAGTTGGAAGCCTGAAATCTTGTGATCATGTTCTCTGGGTCTGCCCAACACCCATTTCTTTGGGGGATACTCCCCTGGTCGATGTGGTCCTGCTGGTTTATCAGGGAGGGGGGACTCTCATCTCCCTCCAAAAAGAAGGCACATGACCCAGGGTGGACACAGTGATTGGTCGGGGCTAGACACATGACCCAGGCCTGGCCAATCATAGGACCACTTCCTCTGGATACAGTGATTGGTTCAAGATGATCATATGACCCAGGCAAGAACCTTCCCCTCTCCCCCAGCCCCCCAGGAATGGATGCACATTAATTTGAAGAGATGTGTGCTTTCTGCTGGGACTGTTCGGCTGGGCTGTCTTACCTGGCTGCAGGAGGTAGCCTATCTAGAGTAGGAGAGAATAGAGCCATGGCCCTGGTGGGGAAGCAGAAGGGATACAGGGAGGGCAGAGGAAACCGAAGTCATCATTTGTGTCCTGGAACGAAGCTGAGCTTTGAGTCAGTAACACTCCTGGGTTTTTGAGTTGAGTGAACTGAGAAATTTCCTTTTCATATTTAGGCTATTTCGAGTTGGGTTTCTGTCACTTACGACCCAAAGAGTTCTAACACATGTAGCAAATATTTTCTAATGGAAGGACATTTTGTATATCCAAATGAACATTTAAAATACTGTTTTTCCTGTTTCTCTCTTTCATTCATAGTGGCTCAATCCCTTATTTGCTGTGTTTGTTCCTAACTCTTCCTCCTCTGTCCTGTAACATTGAGAGACCAGACGGTCTGTTTTTATCCCCACCTGCATCTGCAGGATCTCTCCCCACTCTTGTGGCCAGTGTGTGCAACTGAGGGGCAGCTTGAGGGAGCCACCTGTCGCTGATGGTGGAGTCCCTGTCCACCGTGGAAGTCTGCAGCATGGATTTTGTGCCCTGATGCTGCTAGAACTGCCCCTAGAATGGTGCAGAGAAGGGAAGCAAGTCACTGGAAGCAAGTCACTATGGTGTAGAGGTGTTTGGCACGGTTGGGGGGGCAGTGCAGAATCATCACGGTCCCATTCCAGAGCTCCCACATACCAGCTGTGTACGGTTGGACCTGTTCCCTAAGCTTCCTGTCCCAACAACCTTATCTGTTAAATGCAGCTGATAGTCACGTCTAACCCAGAGGGCTGGGTTGAGGAGTGCAGGAGTTATCATTATTACTAATTGGACCTCACGGCCCAGAAGCAAGACTGCTTAGGCCCAGAGTCTCACAGAATCTTTCATGAAATCCCAGTTCAGCCCTTTCCCAGCTGTGTAACTTTGACGAGTCCTTTAATGTCTCTAAGCTCTTGAGAAAAGAAGATGATAATATCTTCCTGATAGGAATGTGTGAGGACTGGATGAAACAGTGCTCGTAAAATGCTCCATGCATAGTAAGTACTCGGGACACATCCACTGTCATGGTGACGATCAAAATAGCTCTTTCCCAACAGATTAAAATTGACCCACCCCAGCTGTCTCTGCAAGCAGCGAGCCTCTCTCAAGCGTGAGGTGTGGCAAGGGGCACTCAGCCTGAGATGGGGTGTCAGAAGTTCTGCTTCTGGCACATTCTCCAACCCTTACGTTTTCCTGTGCATGCACACACACATTCACACACACACAGAAACACAAATGGGGACTCCTTGTACCAGGAGCCTCTGCCCTTTCATAGACAATAGGCGATTGCTGTGACAACTGGTTCCAGTATTTTCTATTTGCTAATTACGTATTTTAATTCAAATGGAATCTCCTGATGCATTTCTCAAAGATTTTCTTCCTTGTGCCCTAGCACACAACACTCTCCACTCTACTTTTCCACATCAAGAAATGCATTTCCTTGAAACCTTACTATTCCTTAAAAAGATATCTATTTTGAAGGGTTCAATTATCTTACTGCGCAGAAATAAATCAGTATAATTTATTTTAATGTAACTGGCTTTTAAAAGTCATCAAATTTTACCTTTCACCAACTGTGTTTTTGATTCAATACTTATTTGATAATTTAGACATTGTACAGTTTTAAATATACTATCGTTATGCTACGATGATTTGGCATGTCATATTTAACTCTCTCCCTCAGAGAAATGCTGGTGTTCTGAAAACAAACAAAAAAATTGTTAAACTTTTATTTTTTTAAAGAAAACCAATAGGCTTTTTGGTTATTTCAAAGCTAAAAACAAATAAATATTGACATATTTAAACATGCTTGTGAACCATTATTTTCAAGAACCATTATTTTCAAGAACTGGTATTTCTAAACAGTCTTAGCTGAAAGAATAGGACATCCCAGTCTAAACATAGTCTTGCAAAAGGACGAAGAGACATAGGTGGAGAAGTCAGAAGGTATTCTACACACAGGACGCGATTGCTGGCTGTGGCTCCCCTGGGCACAGAGGAACCCTTTGGAGATCTTCCTTCAAACCTGATGGGCAGGCGGACCCAGGAGCAAATGAAAGTTGCTTTCATATGGCTCTTTTCATTTCAGAATCAAAAAAGACTGCTCAGCGCCCAGGTCAATGAGCCGTGGTGTAACCGCAGACAGGCAGCCACCTCTGAGACGAAACACAAACCCAGGTTTTTGCCAGAATATTCCACCCAGGGAATGGGCAGCCACCACACAAACCTCCAAGGAACCTTGTGCCTTGTTCTAATGTTTCCCTAGCTATGCCAAATGTTTGGGCCCTCTTGTGTTCAGTTTAGCATTTTATCCTATCTGCCTTGTGTTTGTCTCTGTTTCCTGTCTCTATATTTTCTCTCCTCAGCCAAGCTGGGAGGCAAGATGGGGCATTATAACCAGCTCAGGTTTTAAAACCAAACAGACCAGGCTCTAAATTCCATCTGAGTGTCTTAACAACCAAGAAGAATTGAACACATGCTTACTGTGTATGTATTTGAAAGTTTTAATTTTAACATCTCTTCAGGGCCTCAGTTTCCTCATCTATAAAACAGTACTCATATCTGCCTTATAGGTTTATTGTGAAGCTTTAATGAGATAGCCCAGGGATGGCACCCAGCACAGAAGTTGATACTAGTAAGTTCTTAATACATATTAGCTATTATTGTTTTTCTTTTTATATCATCACTGGGATAAATACATAACCTATTTTGAAGAACAACAGTCACTTAATGACTAGCTTCCTACGTAATGTTAAAAAAAATAAGCCTCATTAAAAAATAAGTTTCACATCATTACAATCCTGCATCAACTTCAGGAGATGACACCTTCTTTAAGTTTGAACCCAATAGGGGTAAAGCAATTTAAAAATGTAGAAATAAAATAGATACCAGCTCAGCGATCCTACTTAGCAACGTGAAAAAGTGGGAAGAGGGAGCGTATGTGTGAAAGGTTCTATTTAAAATAAATTTTAATCCTTCTGATCTCATGTTCTACCCTGTGTAGAACATGGATGGTAGTCAGTTTCAGAAATCCCTTCAGAAGGATTTTGATTCCTGTATTGCTTGTTGGAATTCCATTGCAGGTGGACAGGTACGTGGTGATGCCCTGCTTGGTGTTCTCTCTCGAAGCCTTCACATTCCCAGACACTGGCCCGGGACCTTTGGCCTGACTCTTAAGCAACAGAGAAACCTATGGTCACTTGAAGTCACAGATTAAGAGCATGCAGGCAAAGACATTTAGTCAGCATTTTAACTGTCATTCAAAGTTCGGACTTCTCCCCTTCAGGCAGCTAAGGACAGGGTGACCGCACATTAGGATTTGCCTACAACAGTCTCAGTTTATGCCTATTGTCCTGGCATTCTGTCCTTGTTGGCTTCTGTCCTGGATTTCCCACTTTCAATGAAGTATTATTAATAATCGTCACATTAAAATAAGCTAGGATGGGTTTGGGAGAATTCCACTTGGCACTTTCTGCTCTTCCAAGGTCTTTACTAAAAACATGCAGGGCTCATGCACAATAAATAGGGTTCTCACTTTAACTTAATGTGAAAACTGAAAAAATGAATGAAACCCTTTTTACTCTAACGCTTTCCAGACTCAAAGTAACTCAGGGACAACATGCAGGTGGTGGCTAATAAAACGATGTGCTCACACACAAGTTTTGGGAGACAGCTGGCTTCTTCCAGTCTCCAACAGTGGTGGGGCAATAACCAGTGCCACTGGGCTGACCAGCCACTTGGTATACCAGCTATACCAGGGTCTGTGCTAAGTCGCCAAGCTGCCAGGCTTTGCTCAGCAGAGCTAGCATAATGTGGGAACTCATAAGTTAGGAGTGAGTGAAACATGTGCAGAAAATACAAGCTGTAATCCTGCTAGAGAGTATTTAGAGAGTAGCCCGAAAGTTTTTGTTCTGGTGATATTGTTGCTTATTATATTGTATAAATCCACAACTATGATTAATTGTTAATGCTTTTTATTTGGTAACAAACCTTATGGCCATCAATGACCCCAAAACAACGTAAGCATATGTTTAATGAAATATTATGTACTGCCTTTAAATTCCTTATGAAATTTGATGAAAATTATATAACCTGCACAAGATGTTTGTCAACATTTGTCCCAGCAGGGGAGCTGTAGCAATTTTATCGACCACATGAAAGCCAGAAGATGCCAATCTGCAGAAAAAGCACTAACATCGATTACATTTAATACATGTAACTGCAGATGGTGTTTTATATATCACTCTGTAAAGCATGACTTTTCACTTAGATCAAATATCTTTCTTCTAAATTAATATTAATTAATTAATTAATTAATCCCACATTTTCTTGTGCACATAGAAAAGGGAAACCACAGCTGTTAATGTGTTGGCTCCACTGGTAACAGAAGAATTTTGCAAACAGACAGTCAAATGATGCCTGATTTATATCAGTAACATCGGATGCTGCAAACAGAAAAATAGCTAACTCTAATAATAATGTAATGTTTTCATCCAATTCATGGGACCAAGGTCAAGTTTTTAAGGTTTGCTGTGTCAACACAGAAACATCTGATACTATATGGATAATTTAAAAAATCTAAATAAGAATTTCAACATTGAAGATAAAATTGCTTTTACAATGATAACAGAATTACAAATTTTGATGCAGCATAGTATTGTAGTTAAAACATTGTTATTTCTAAATTAAGAATTTTATGGAACAGAATTGGTTGTGGTACACAG